GGTGCCGGTCCAGGTTCATTGTCTAAGCCACCACCAATCAAGTAACCGAGCTGGAAAGGGTCGGTGTGAGAAGCAGAACATCGCGGGACAGGAGACAGATGGGCAGAGGATAGGAGAGAGCCAAGATCAAAACAGCGCCAGATTAGTGTAATGGGGAGGCCTTTGCCAGTAGGTTGGTCAGCCAATGCGCACCATCTGCACCTGTGCTTGGTTTCATTTTAGGCATTTGGATGATTTCTGATCCGATTGACTGCCCCTCAATCGTCCAAGGTGACCAGGCCTGGAAGAATCCTCTTCATGCGCCGTATCGAAGCGTCGCGAACACCGTAATAACGGACGTGCACGGAACCCAGGAGGATGCCTGTCAGACAGCTCATATTATCTTTTTTTTTTCCATCCTAGGTAATCGTGTGCGGCGTCTTTGAAAGCGTTTCTCACGTTTTCCACTAATGGCTGAGCTTACTCTAGTGTTTCTCAACCTACTAGTATTGCCCACGTGTTCGAAGTTTTGATTGCTCTTCCGAGGGAAAAAAAAAAGCCATCAAGCATCAGACGGCACGCTCGGAAGGGCTGTAGGGGGGGTGTTGTGTGCGTGCATGCACGAGTTAACATGGTTTACCTTTTGGCCAGTGACATACAGCCTATCTTCCAGTAGGATGAGCATCGTAAAAGGGCTCGGTTATGTGGTTTCTTTTTCCCAACTCCTGTCTATCTGGTAGGTGTGCCTCCGTCCCCGTCTCTGGCACGGCGAATGAGTGCGGTTGAGCAAGCAACCCCGGACGGATCAATGGCAGAAAGGAGGAAGAATTCTCCGAGACCTCAACCCGGTCATTCTGCCGAGGGGATATAGTGGTATCCTGGGTGGTGACGAGCGACCTCTTTATGGGGTAGAGCCTATCTTGTCCAGCCGAGCAGAGAGGACATGTAACGACGTATTCATGTCACGTACGCGCCCAGCCAGTCATGAGATACCAGACAGAAGCGAGTTGACGATGAGTTGTGGTGCTGCTTGGAAGGGTAGCCTGTCAGTGGTGCACCGTGAACTTGCCAGGGTTGGGGACGGCGGTGGGCAATTGGCTGGCCAGAGGCACACTTCGGCAGGATCATCTGGAAGTGGTTTAGCATGACCACAGGAACTCCGCATTCCGTCAGCGGCTTTTTTTCTCCTCAGCGCCCTCTGACAGCGTTATGCCTGGTGTTAAGTGTAAATACTGGGTGCTGGGCGGGACCCCAGGCTGCACATGCAGCAAACCCGTCACTTCACCTCGATGAGGCGCATTACAAAGGGTCCTCGAGGCTGGAGGCCCGTTTATCCATCACCAAATTCACAATTAGGTACCGCCCACCCCTCGTACATACCCTCGTACGAGAATCATGGTGCCGGGGAGGGTAAGGGGTCGGAGGGTTGTAGGCCCTAGTCAATCCGCACTGGGACCGAGGCCCCTTGACCCAATTCCTTTGCCTTGCGAGGACGGATCTGGCCTCCCGTGTCGTGTGCTCATATGGCACTGTGATTGGGTTTGCGATGTCTGAGAAGCTACTCAGTACGTAAGTCTGGCCATATCTGCAAATGCGTGTCTAGAGGTGAAAGCTAGCGACCATGGTTTGGGCAGTAAAACCCTTGCTCTGTCTTGTGGAAATGGTGTTTGCATCGAGGCACACCACATCGTATCGTGCCTGGGCGCGTCCTGCTTGCTACGCTACCCTTGGCAAGGCTCGATGGCTCACCTACGGTACGACCATCGGCAAAGACATCAATCGCCGCTCCTTGCGGTGTGTGTATGGTTCGTCCAAGACGAGACGATGACGAGAATTGGGGGGAGGGCACCACCCGGAGCTCTTGGCGCATCGGCAATGATACGTAGGTAGGCTTGGTCCCCATAGGCAAATCAGCAGATGTAACCTTGTCCTACCCGCTATGTGCAACTGACAGTGCTCACAGCAGCGCGAGTGGATCACACGTCTGCCACTCCCAGGTGCCGCCACCTGCATCTGGCTATGTAAGTAGCCCGTGGAGCAACGACCTGGAGTGGGTAGCTTTGCAAAAGAACCTCGAATTAGTAGCACCACAATCTGTTAAGCAGTCAATCGGCTGGGGGGCAGGCCTCTGCACTAGGAGCAATGCAGCATAGAAGAGATGCATAGTTGCACCGGCCTTTCTGCTTGATTGCTTTTGGCGTCTTGATGCACAGGTTCTGGAGATAGGCAGTTGAACCGCAAGATGCGATTTTCTCTCTGGAAACCCTGTCCCCCCCCCTTCCCGGCGGATATCCGAATGCGATTAGTGTGCGCGAGGCTAAATTAAAACTCCAAGGCAAACGTTACCTGCGCTGCTGATCTGGCGTGTGCCGTGAGCTCCTCTCGAAAACGTTAGATAACGTATCTTGAGCCTCCAGGACCTCAACTGTCACGTAGCGGCACGGAATAGGATATTTCGGTGTCAGCGCTTGAAACACGGCGCTGGCCGCAGGCCATTGTTTCTAGAAGCCTGCTGTGCCGTAGCTAGAAGGGGTTCTTTCCTCGCTGGAGCTCTTCTTTTCCTCATGTTGTTGGTAAAGTGCTCAGCTCTAGGATCTTGGGGGCAAATCTCCAAGGCATTGACCGATGGTCGACTCCAGATTCGAAGACCCCGAGCAGGGGGCACCCAGAAAGGGAAAATGTGTTTTTTGGGCCGTTTTGGAGGTCAGAGTGGTCTTGCGGTGTTACCGGGAACCCGTGCCCCGCTCATCAAGGAACGAATGTCCGAAGACTGCTCCGTGCATTGCTGGTGTAATAATACCTATAGGATTCATACTATCCGCACAAGACGATACCAGTCGGCCGCTCCCCTGCTGGTCGGTTCTCCATCTAATCCGCTGAGTTGTGCCTGTGCCCACAACTGCTGCTCGGCCATGGGCGGCTTGGAGACACGGAAGTCGCTGGTCTTTTGGTCACGTCAATCTTTAGGGCCATGCGGTGGTTGCTGGTATTACTTGAGGGGCCTATAGCACACAGTCCCCACCTGACTTGCATCTGGCTCTGGACGGTCACGACTGAGGACCCCTCGCGTGCTCATGCTCATGATTATGGTCTGGCGCGCGGTGCCTGAAGGAACAGAGGACAGGACAAGGCCGGTCAGGTCGAGTCAAGTGAGGGGTTTCGCAGCTTGTTAGTGTGCTGTCTCTGCTTGCCTTGGCTCTGCTAGCTATGCTACCCAAGGCTACCCAGGCTAGCACTGGCGCTTCCCCCGCCCCTTCCTCGGGGTTGGTGGTTGAGGAATTCCACGACTTTGGGCTTGGGCTTGGATTGGTGAGATGGAGGCCTTTGGCTGCCTTGCCTTGTTCCTGTGGTAATGAAACGCTCTGAACTGGACTAACCAAACGTACCGAGCGCCGCTTGAGAGGGCTAAGCCTATTTCGAGGCTGGAAATCAAGCCACTGGCACTTGCAACTGGCCACCAGAGCTGCTGGCGTCCCCTCTCCCTCTCTGCTACGCCCAGCCCGGCCTAGCCTGCCTCCCGGACTGCCCCTTCCCCTTCCCATTCCCATTGCCCCTCCCCACACGCCCCCTCCCAAAATCGAAAAGTGGCTCTTTCCCCTGGCTGCTCCTGCCCAAGCTCCAGTCCTCACCTGGGCCCTGTTTGACAGCACCCAAAAAGCCCTGCTCGGCTGCAAGTAGTACCTGGCAGCCCCCTCGCCCTCCCCTGCCGCCGAGTTACTGGCCCCTGTGAGAAGCCAGTTGCAGGCCGGTACTTGCTCCGTGCCAGGTCTTGGTAGGCTCCTCTTCCACTGGACAGCAACCTGCCCTCCTCCCCCCACACAAGCAGGCAGACGGTTTACTCTATCATCGGTGCAGGCGCTCCCACACTCACCCTCACTCACACAACCAGCTAGTGCCAGGGTTCCTTACGCCATCCGCTCCCCACTGTCCACTCACATGTTCTGCTCTTCTTCTCGAAGTCTGCCAGCTTGACGGCGCGGAGGTAGTGTTGGTGGAAGACCACCACTAGAGCAAGCCTGTTCGATCATGCCCCCAGCTTTGCACACACGAGGGTGGCTACAACGAGGTGGGAAGAAAAGGGCCAAAAAAGCAAAGCGTGCAGCACCCCAAACACGCATCCCGCTGCCAACACTGGATGATATCGCCCAAGTCATGGCCTTGGTCGCATCTCGGACATCGCGCGTCAGGGAACCGGAAATGCTTAATATAGGTCTAAACTGACTCCTGGACAAGCAAGATGCTGCACCCCCGAATATCCTTGTTGGCTGGTACCTCGCTGGCCTCCAGTCGCCTCCCCTCCAGACCGTCAGCGGTGTGAAGCCGGGACCCCCTGTCCCAGGGACTTTGCAAGACGGCGCGAACAGCATAGGCTGGCTTTGATCGCCTCCCCGTCACTCCTTCTTCGGCTATGGCGAGTGGGATCATCATTCACTCCCCCTCCGTCCAGTGTCCCCGGCACCCTTGCCCCCCTGCTGCCCACTTCCATATCTCTTAAGATTGCCTTGCTCTGTCGGCTCCTACGAGTAAGAATCGTCTGTGCTCAGTGTAGTATCTGCAAGTGCATGGGGGTGGACATGCAAGTCAAAGAAGCCCCCACAGCCGTCCGGTGATGGTGGAGTTCCCATCCTATCATCAGGTGCCGTACATATCCAGATATTCATCATAGCATCACATACATAATGGTCATTGCCCACATCCTCTACAGATGCTATACCCATGAGCATATTTCTTCATTACGTGCATCTCCAACCTCAGATCTCATCCCACTCCCAGTACCCCTCCATCAGTACTCGCGAGTCGGTAGTCGAGCTTCGTCTTCTTTTATTCACACATTTTAAGCTCTTTCTCAACCAAGTCTTTCAAGCAAGGCCTTGACGCTTCATTCCTTCTTCAACCTCGACATCGTCCTGCGTCCAGCTCTTCTTACCTTATTCTTTATCCTGCCACCCTACCAATACGCCGTGTCCCACACACACCCATCTCACCTACTATACCCTCCTTCCAGCTGTCAACACACCGACATGACGGCCGCGATTTCTCAACAGACCGTCACGGTCAAGGATGCAGCTACTGCCCGCAAGCGCAGAAGACGTGCACCTGCCGGCGGTGCTGCTGACGACTGCTTCACCTGCATCAAGCGCAATGTCAAATGCGACCGTCGCCGCCCATACTGCTCCCAATGTCTCGAGGTTAGCAACGAATGCTCCGGATACAAGACTCGCCTTACTTGGGGTGTTGGTGTTGCCAGCCGTGGAAAGCTCCGAGGACTGTCTCTGCCTATCGCAAAGGCCCCTCCCGTATCCCGCGAAACCAAGAAGTCACCCAGCAGTCGGTCAAGGGAGCTGCAGACCACAGGCTCGGTCATCAATGTTTCTCCAATCCAGAGCCATAACCATAGCCATAGCCACAGCCACGGCGCCATGAACATGCATGCCCATGCTCAGATGCACAGCTCTGCGATGCACTGGCCGGAGCACGATGACGCAAGACGGCATGCCCATGCCCAGATGCAGCCCGTGAGATCACCAATCGATATCCCGCCTGTGTCTCAGCCCGGTGTTGCTTCCGCGCCTGCCACTCCCTATGGACTGCCTAGCTATGATTATCTCTCCATGTCTCACAGCGAAGAGCCCACAATGCATCACCACGGCAGCTGGAACAATGTTGGCTACTCCACGGGAATGGTCAACTCTCCAGAGCAGCACCAGCCCAAGTACTCCAAATTCCCACTCCCCCTCGTCACAGAGGGACTTTCGTCCTCGGTCAGCTCCGTCAATAGTGATGTGGACTACATGTCTCCTATGAGCCAGTCCTACCACAGAGATGAAGTGCCCTTCATCAACAGCCCGACACTTCTGTACGATCACTACAGCACTCACCAGAGCTCACCAGTTCCACAAAGCCCTCCCTCGGCCATCGTCATGGACCACTCCCGTGCTCCCACCTCATGCCCAGGGCTCGTGTACACCCCATCTGAGCCCGGCTCCCTCCCAAGCACACACCCATTGGATGTCTTTGAGACACAAATCAGCCACAAGATGATGCGAGAGTGCGACAACCTCAGTGAGCATCACTCGACGCCATGCCTCGCTTACACATTCTAATGAGCGTGCAGATGCCCGTGATGCGAGCATGAACAAGAGTGTCCACGGCTCAATGGGACCTCCGCCGCGGTCTTGGCATCAAAAGGGGCATCCCGTGGCGCATTTCCAAAGTCAACTTCCATTCTCCGGATGGAAATGCGCGAGTGGGCGTCCCGGAGAGGCCAGTCAAGAATTGACATCTCGAATGCCATTCTTCATGGACTACTATACGACTACGCTGTGCCCTGCTATGGTATTTATTGATGGGCCAGGAAACCCTTTTCGGGATGTTATTTTGGATTTGGCAAGGGGCAGTCCCAGTTTACAACACGCAATTTGTGCCTTCTCCGCCTGCAATTTACGGATGAAGCGAAAGCTCAGTCTCGGGCTTGATGCGAAGCAGCTCTCTCTAGCACTCATTGCCGACAAGAAGTCAGCAGAAGCTGTAGCTGATGTGGACATCGACGATCCAGCTTTGTCAGAGGAGTACCAGCATCGCAACTTGGCAGTGTACCTTCTCAATCAGCAATTAAACGACCCTTCCAGATGTGGACATGATTCAGTCGTTGCTACCATCCTACTTCTGTGCCATTATCGCATGATGGAGTCTGGCGTTGCAAAGTTTCAAATTCAGTTTGCTGGGATTCAGAAGATCCTCTCTATGAGAAAGAACCCGAGCGACACCTCGAATTCCGAACCGTCTTGGATGCAACGTCTCTTCACTCACTTTGACGCGATTTCCGCAAGTGTAAATGACCGTGAGGCCCAGCTGCCCACTGACATGGGTGTTGTTGAGAACTTGGTGGGCTGTGACCACAGACTGCTCCACACCATCCGAAAGCTGGGGCGCATCAATCTCTTGTCTCAGAAACGGCCGGTGCGGAATCCAGGGGAACAGACCGGGCATTCCGTCTTCTGGGTTGAATGGCAGGAGGCAAGGCAATCTCTTCAGACTTGGCAATTCAATGCCGGTGCTACTGTCGCGAACCTACCAAGCCCACCGAGCTTGGCGCAAACTCGCGACCTGAGGGCACTTTCCGAAGCTTTTCGATACGCCGCCCTGCTCTACCTGGAACGATTGGCTAATCCGGACTTACCGTCGCGGCACAGCAACTTTCAACAGCTAGTTACCCAAGTTGTTCACTACGCCACGGACATGGGGGCCAATAGCTCTGCCGAAAAGTTCCTCCTTTGGCCACTTTTTGTGGTCGGATCTGAATGTGTGGATCAATTCCAGCAAAGTATTATCCGAACCAGGTGCTTGGATATGATGTCCCGCTCGGGATATATGGACAATCTTTCTGCGCTTGAAATCCTGGAAAAGCTATGGGCCACGGGCATGGATGGCTCTCAGACCGGCACACCAGACGGCAAATCATCTTCTCGCAGCCCCTTCAACTGGGCAAGTTGTCTCGGAGGCCCAGGCGTTGATGTGGAATGGATCATGTTCTGATCCAACTCCTTTTGATTCTTACTACATATTTGACCTTTTGCAAGTTTTTGGAAATATTGAAAGGGGGACTTGTTACTGCTCCCAGTACATACAATTGTCTTCTCATGTATATAAGCTTGGTTATGTTTTCCCACTTTATTTTCTTGTTCTCTTTGCTCTTCGGCGCTGGCATTGGAAAGCATGGGTTTGAAATGATTATTGGGGAAATGGACTATGAGTGATGCATTTTACGGCCATTGATATTTTGATTTTACATACAGGATAGGGCGTTTTCTTGGGCTGGTTTTTGTCGATAGTTTTGTCACGCAATGTTTACCTCTGTTTTCAGTAACATACTATGTTGACCAATCTCTACTGGGTGTGATGATGATGTACATGGATGCTTCTCTAAGCAAGCAAGTAAACTCGAATCCTTGAGCGAACGGCTGGTACTAGCGGAATCATGGGAATCCTCACAACTCGGCGAGACTCTCGGGATGTAAGGTTACTCGTCGGGGTTGCATCGGCCCAGCTAGGGACAAGCTACGAGAGCCCTGTCGCCGGAGGATGGGAGGGCGATCTGACACGGTCGATCCCGAGAGAGTCCATTAATAGAGGTGAACAGGCAGCACGTCACAGAATCGCAGGGGAACACCGAGTGGCGATATAGACCTGAATTAAGATAAGGATACAGAGTAGTAGCGGCTGCTTGCTTGCTTGCTGGGGAACAGACCGGGGTGAGGGGAGGGGGGTGGGCAAGGGGATTTTTGAAGTCGAGAGTGTTTCACGATCCAAAAGGCCGGGGATAAATATAGATGTTAGTCCCCCCATGACGATGGACCCAGGCGCGCACGGATGTGCTGATGGGCGAGAAATGGAGGGTTTGCGGGTTGCGCCGTGACTTTTGGGATCCACCCGCACGGCGACGACGGACCTGGTCGGCCGCCCCGGACTCTGAGCCTCTGGTCGCCGGGTGCTCCGCTGGACGAGGGAGGAAAAAGGGTCCAAAACTTGCCTGAGATAATGCTATCGAGCACGGTTGATCTTGGCTGTTTTCAATTGCTGACATGCAGGCTCCGAATCCGGCCACTAATGCCAGGGCGTTCTAGTTTACGCTGGCCGAGCGTTTGTGCGACGACTTGGAAATCAATCCCCTGCGTGTTGGTGGAGGAGGGGTTCTGAGTGGTGCAGTGATGTCCTGTCTCGTGATGTTCTTGGCCAGTCTTGTTTTCTGCTTTGGGTAAGGGGATTCCCTGTTCTGATTTCCTATTACGCTTTCCTTTTCCCTCTAGGGGCGCCGGTGTAGAATACGTGTATGCAGGCGATAACTATGCGCTGCTTAGAGGGGAAACGGCCCCTGGCGGATGTGATGGCAGATGGGAGGGGTTAGACGCGTCGCGGCTATTCCCCCTAGGAACATTGGCAGCAGGCTCATGGGCCTGTTCGATCGGTACTGAAGGGGAGTGTGGTGGTTGGGCTGGGTCTCCTCTCCCTGAGACGAAACGCAAGCTCAGCTGTGGCGTGCAAGGCTATGTTGGTTGACCGAGTGGATAGAGGGGACGAGAAAAGCGGCCGCGGCCAACATGGAGTGTTCTCGAGGGGTGTGCTGGAGCTAGCCTGCCTTGCCTGCCATCGTCTCTTGTTTTCCTGGCAAGGATGGTTCAAGCTTTCCCCCTGGGATCAGCGATGGGACATGCTTCGAGGATTTGCGACGAAAGTGTTGGATCGTCAGTGGTTAAGGCCGGTTTGACAGGGGGTAGGGGGCGCGAGAACAGGCATATCCATGCCTGCTAGAGCGCCAGGCTAGCTTCTTGTCTGTTCTCCCCCCCTCTCACGTTATGGGCCGAGGATATGATTGAACCTCACTCTCAGGGGAGGGGAGGAGGAAGGAGGGGGGTTCGTTGGCATATGACAACGCTAGGACCATCTTCAACTTCCAGGAGACTCCAGATGGCACCACACCGTTCGGTAGGCGCGATATTAGCTTGGACTAACACCTTCGCAGATGAGCCGGAGAGGGTGTGGGTGTGGGCGAGCGACGATGCATATCGGGTGGCACGAGAGAGCAAGATTCTGCAGGCTCCTTCTCTCAGGTGAGCCTACATGTGCATGTGGTAGGACAGCAAAGTCTGATTCGGCGTTACTTTGCCTTCCTGCACGAGGCAGAAGTCGTGGAAGCGCCGTGGGAAAGGCGGGGACGGAAATAGTCACTGTGCATGTAAGTCTTTCTACCTGACGCGACTACTGCAGGCCAACCTTGGGTATAATGGCCTCTCTCGAAGCTGCGCATTGAGCATTGGTCCTGACCGGATGGCTCTGGGTTGGGCCGGTTTCGAAGCTATCCACGCATATGCTTGAGGCATCTGTCGAGGGAGAACCAGGCGACCTTGTTCTGTGCCGCACATCCCGCCCTTTATCCGCTACACACAACTCGGAAGCATCGACGGTAGCTCTGCACAGGGCGGTGAGGTTGTTCCTTCCCCGGATCACCTTAGCCCTCCCTGCCTGAATGTCTGGCAGCCAGGCCGGTCTGTGCCTCCTCCCGTCCCTCGCCCTTATGCGAAAGAAGCTTCAGCGTCAGCAGATTTATGCGTCATGCTTCGGATTTAGCGAACCGAGAAACCTGTCACTTTCACCTTGCAAGCGCCTCTCAAGTCTACTACTACTCTAGTCATGATACGCTTCACGTCTAAGGCCCTTGTCAGGCCCGAATCCACGCCACACACCGACAATACAATCCTAAATGTTTAAGCAGATCGGGGCGATACATTCTTGGCTATAGAGGATGACTTCAGCCGTGTCTGACCTGTGTGAGAGAACGGCGCTAAAATAATTTGCATCGGTAGATTATTGGAAGACGTCCGACTATACTGTAAGCACGAAACACTGGTTGACGCTCTCTGATATAATGTCAGCAGCTATAGTTGACTTGTTCCCTGAGCCCAACTAGCTGCCAACCACAGATGTGTCAGAGCAATTACTCACGGGAATTACTCCCACCCGAATGCTCAAGTTACCAACATCATACCACACCGGTAGGTGTCCCGTGACCACCGGGCACTTCGCTATATTGCCTGAGCCTAGAAATCTCCGGCCATTTATCCGAAAGCCATCACTCGCTTGGGGTTCCTTGAAAACTCGAGATGCGCTCCCAAGTTCCCCCAGCTATCGGGCTCGGAGCAACGCTCTGGTGGTGGGATCACTACGCACACTCACGGGTCGAGACAGCAAAAGTCGCTTTTGATTAGCTGCACCCCGAGGAGATCGCAATATACATGATATTCCATCGGCGAGTGAGCGTTGAGTCGATGAAACGCTGCATCGCTGTCACATTGCCGTCCCTTAATGCCAAGTAACGTAACCCCTCAACATCATCTGCACGAACTACGTGACCAGATAACGGAGATATGCAGCGCAAACGCCTGTTCACTCTGGGGGTGCATCGACGAGGTCACAGTGGAATCACGGTGAGAGAATGAGTGTGGAGGGGGGTGAGTTCAGACAAAAAGCAAGTTCTCATTGTCCTGGAAGCGCCCGGCAAGATGTGATGTGATTGATATCTTGATGTGGAGGGCTGGTGATGTCTCAATGGGTGCATTGTTTTCTCTGGAGTTTCCCGCCCCACTTTGGCGGATGATTTGCATTGACGTGCGACTTACATAATCTTTCCCCGACCTGCGCTATGCCCCTTTAGAACGAAGAGTGGGCGAAACGCGCTAACCAATCACATCCGATTATTTGCCTGAATGGTAGCTGCAGGGTAAGGCAGGAATCTTGAAGAACGGGGCCCGTGTAGGGCGTGTCCTGCGTGTGTCTGAAATCCCATCGGGTGAGCACGAGGACCTGCAGATCGATCCTCGGTGGCGACATAAGGGTTCAACAGGATGGGAAAGAGGAAATTCATGGCAGATCACGTTATGGAGGGGGCGACAGGCGTGAACCGCTGCCCGGACAGTCAGATGCACCATGGGATTTCTTGAAAAAGGAAGAATCTCGCCATCGCATTGAAGTGATCATCGGCGGTCCCCGCTCGCTCTCACCGTCTTACCCAAGGCTCACTGGTGGGCGGACAACAAGGCTCTCTCGGCCCTGTAGCCGGACGCTGGCGAAGTGGCGGTGTTGCTTGTTCTTGTGTGGCTGCGTGCTTTGGGGGTTTGTACCGCTCTGGTCCTTCTCGAGTTTCTTGTGCCCACAGTGCCAAACTCAATTCCCTCGAGCTTGCCTTCCTGCAAGCTTCAATGCTTGCTTGCTGGATATTCTTATGCCCGGATTGAACAAGCCAAGCTTTGCTGAGCGAGCATTCCCATCCCACAGCGAGGGACCAGCTACAGCCAAGACTCGGACAGGCGGCCGCGCGTTCTGAGACCTGTTGGAGAAAAACCATAGCGACGCCAAGCATTGCCACCAAGCCGAGAGAGCCGCGCAGCGCCAGACTTATCAACAGAAATCCAGGACTCAGACCTGTTGTAGTGGCTTAATCCCCCACCAAGCTCGCTGCAACCAGCGAGTCACGCGGGGCTGGAGCATGCGGTACAAGCCACATACAATCAACCTACATCCGTAGCTGTCCAACACGAGGCCGAATGCCGTCCATTACGTGAGAGTTCGGGGTTGCCCCTCCAAACTTCAGCTTGTGGAGAAGGGATGGTGCGAGCAAGCACAAAGCCAATCGAGTGGGCGCTTGGCTCGGGAGCTGACGACGACTGTCTGGTAGGGCTGTTGGGACATATAAGCTCTCCGCGCCGGTGTTGGATTGTCGATCGCTCGTATTTACTAGATACCTTCGTGATCCCGTAGACTCGTTTGTCCCTACGTCACTTTTCAGCCATTCTCCCCCAACAATATCCTTTTCCCTGATAGAGACATAATCGCGACAATGTCCGCTAACTCGTATTACGGCGGCGGCGGCGACCAAGGAGGCTACGGCCAGCAGGGTGGATATGGCCAGCAGCAGGGAGGTTACAACCAGCAGGTTAGACGATGCCCCCAACTATTGACATCAGAAGCTTTGTTGCTAATCGCGGGGCGACTAGCAGCCTCAATACGCTCAGCAGCCTCAATACGGCCAGCAGCAGCAATACGGTCAGCAGCAGCCCCAGCACGGCCAGCAGCAGTACGGCCAGCATCAGCAGCAGCAGTACGACCGAGAGCAACCTCAGTACGGTCAGCAGCAAGGAGGAGGAGGAGGACAGGCCAGCTCGTATGCCGCCTCTTTTGGCAATGACCAGAACAACACAGCCCAGGCCTACCCGGGGAGCAACACCGGCCCCAACCGTCCCGGAGGTCCCGGCGGTGCTCAGGATGGCGAGCGTGGCCTCGGCGCAACTCTTGTCGGAGGCGGTGCCGCCGGCTGGGCTGCCCACAAGGCCGGAGGTGGCTTCCTAGCCAGTCTGGCTGGTGCTGCTGCCGGCGCCATCGGTGCCAACATGCTCGAGCACGGCGTCAAGAAGTAGGTTTCTTTTCTTGGCATTTGGAGATGCTTATAAGACACCCCTTGCTGACTTGCGATGGGTACAGGTACAAGAAGAACAAGAAGAACCACAAGGACGGTCGCCCCAGAGCCTTGTCCGGTGCTTCCACCAGTAGCGAAGATTCCGAGGACGAGTTCGGCAACCGTCGACCCGGCGCAGGCCCCGGAAAGCGTGATCTTGGCGGTCCCGGTGGTCACGACTACGGCCCGCCCAGCGGCCCGCCTCCTCCTCAGTATGGCGGTCACCACGGAGGCCCCGGCGGCCCTGGAGGCTACGGTAGCCAGGGAGGCTACGGCGGCCAGGGAGGTTATAACCAGGGCGGATATGGCCAGGAGCCACCTCGCTGGTAGATTAGAGCGTGACAGCACGGGTCGGTAAGCATAATGAAAGGCGTTCTTGGGTTTGAATACATATCCGACGGTCAAGTAGATAATACGAAAAGAAATGTCAAATAAACCAAAAAACTCCATTTTTGTAATACTGTTACTGGTCTTTCCCTAAGGGCTATCCATATCCACTACCTCCAAGAATCATGAAGCGTATACTGGAGATTCCATCCATACCTTTCACTATGTACCTCCACCTTTTCTGTTAATATCAAGTCGAACCAAACTAACCCAACGGGACTTTGACCAGCAACCAAGGCATAATCCCGCGAGAATATCGTGGGATCCGCCGTGACGACAGCGCTTGCTCAACAAACAAATGCCATGTATCTTCTAGACTGACTACCAGATGTGGTTGGGCTCTTCTTCATCCTCATCTTTATCGTCCTCTTGGAGCCCTGCTTCTGGTGTCGTTTTATATATAGAACATGAAGCGCGCTGCGTGCTCGGAGTTTCCGAAGCATCGGCATCTTTCACCACCACGTTCACGTTATAATTGAATGTGTGAGCTTCGTAAGGTGTGCACATCTCTGTCCCGAATGACCTGGGAATCCTATCGTCCGGGGAAATATTCCGGGTAGCCACCGGCTCGACGTCAGAGCTTGATCCGGAGGCGAGGCCGGAGCTTGCTCCGAGGCCGTGAAGGGCAATACCGGTCATCCTCTGGGTTAGTTCCGCCGCCTCGTCTATGACGGCCGTCCTGCACATCCCTGGCTGAAACGACACAAAAGCCGGAAGAGCCGAGGGTCTTCCGGCGCTTCTAGGGGTTTCGGGGACGGCTGCCCTTCTAGCTGGTCTTATCCGCCCTGCTTGGATCAGTTCCTCTATGAGGTTGTTAGTTCATAGTATAATCTTAGCACACTATCCAGGGTCACCCACCGATACAAGGTGGGAAGTTCTCGTTGTCCCACGGTTCTTGCGGCTTCCTCACATAGTCGAGAACGATAACCAGATCCCAGTACTTGGCAGCTCTCAGGAACTGGAGGCGGTTCTTCGACGCCTCGAAGTCGCGCTTATGCCCATAGACGAGATCCCACACCAGGCCGCCGTACTCCTCAACCCAGTCGACGACGCGCTGGACCTCCTCGACGCAGCTGCTTCTGTGCTGGTCCTCGGCGACCTCTTCGCGGGTCTCCTTGTTCCTCGCCGTCATGGTGAGCGAGCTCCGGCTTTCTGGGGACATGCCTATGGTGGTTCTGAGTCTCGCGTGGTATGCGTCCCACTTGGCGGCCCGGAGGTCTGACTCCTGCTTGTACTGGAACTCGACGCAGTCCTCGCACCGCCACATGTATTCCGTCTGAAGGAGGAACTGGCGTCGTTTATTTGGGCATATATCGGTGCATTCCGGCTTGCTGCAGCCAAGCTTGAACAGCATGGAGTGGCGACATTGCCGGAAGTGGAGGGTCGCGAAGCAGCAAGGCATGGCCCCGGCGAACAGGTACAGGGTCGAGTGTTGGTAACGAGTTGCTCGAGGGAGTTGGTTCTCGGACGAGGGATGCTGGCTGGGTATACGGTGAGAAGAAGGCAAGTTAGGGTATGACACGAGGTGCCTTCAGTGGATGTGAAGAGATGAAGCGATCGTGGGATGGCAGGCGAAGAGTCTGTTTATATAGTTTGAGACGACCGATAATCCTCTCCGTTCGTAACGACTTTACAGGTCAATCCCAACCGTGGTGTACTTGCATCACCCTCCTACTTTTGGACTTTACTGGGATAGGAACCTTATTCCACCATAGTGCGACGCACCATTAGGTCCAGAGAGGCTGCAGGTCTGTTGGGAGATATTTTGCTTTGTGCCAAATCACGTTCAAAGCACTTTTTCGTGAGGCCTCACATAAGGTTTTAGGAGCTTAGCCGCAAAGAGCTTCATGTTCTCTCACCAACTATGCAGTGTCTGCTGTAGGAGGCGAGCATGTTAGGATAATCAATACGAGATTGGCTATAGAGCGGCGGTTGATTAGCACCCACACGATAAACTGTTGACATAAGGTGCAATGCAGCATAAACCGTAACCGATGAATGACCTGTAAAAACATGCGCTATCCCAGAAACTCCTACATAAAGTATAATCACGTCGAGCTCAACACATAGACGGTTTGCCACGGTTGTCGAGGCTATTCCCCCAAGAGCATACGTACTCAACTTTCCTAGGCTGGCTCCGCGATGATGCGCCTGTCATGGGCGGATGCTGGTGTTAGAGACCGCCGGGCGAGATCTGGGCTCAAGCTTCGTAACGCGTGCATACCCCCAACGCCTCCCACGATCTTTCGGCTGTCCTCCGACTCCCCTCGTGTCTCGGTTGCGGGGCTCAGGGAGCCGCTCAATGCCGCCTTCTCGTTTGTAACTAACCCCTTGGCCTGGACAAAGGCGCTGGATCGGACGTGATAAGGATCCCGCTCATAGTACTTGTCAATGATGGGGTGCATCATCACGGTCTGCCGGTGGATCGTCAACATGGAGTTTGTTGGTACATTAACCCAGTTCTCTATTTTTTCTTGTCAGACAGCGGCTCCAAACCTTACTTGCGGACAGAAGGGACGTACCTCTCTCAAATGTCAGGGGCTCACTTGCAACAAGAACAATGTCGGCTCCTTTATCTCGTCGCTCCATTTGGTACTGTCTATCATCTGGGGACGATGTTCTTGTAGCCCACTGGGTTCCAGAGGAATAATACAAGCTCGCTGCTTCGTCCTTTGAGCTGCTGATGTACCTCGTGCAGATGACGCTATGGCCATCTGTGACTGCAAAGTTTAACAGGCTCCGTGTATCGACATCCTCATTCTGGATAATGCTCTCAGGGATTGCGTCGGTCATTTCGTTAATCTGCGCTATGGTTTGCTCCATCGCCTTCCTCAAGACCGTCGGCCCGAACCCAGTTTCTGGGCAGGAGCTAGGGTTATGGCCAAGCTGCTCAAGAGTGTTGAGGAAGAGGGCAAATGCCCACTCGCTGTCTGTGCCACCCTTCACCCCCAGGTACCACCGGTCTGCAAGGCGTTCCGCCAGTCGCCGTTTGATATACTTCCAGCCCCCCAAGCCTCCATTGTGCATCCACATGAGGCTCCCATGTGCGAAGGGGTGGCAGTTATCTTCACTCAGAGTTCCCTCGGTGGTGGCTCGTACGTGTCCAAAGATGAGCCGCGAGGCCGTCTTGGAGGCGATCCGCTGTAGGTTCGTGCAATTCCAGGCGGGGATCGTGGAGGTAAAGAGGCATGGTGCGGGGCCCAGCTTGAGATCAGTGTAGAAACCTATTCCAAAGCCATCTGCGTTGTTCTGGCCTCTTCGAGTGTCCTATCAGAGGGAGGCGCAGCCCACGATTAGCCAAAGGTCCAGGGCAGGATTGATAAGGTTCACAAGTCTGGCCGCCAACATGACCGGCAGATGCACGTAGAACTCACCAGGCGAAGCCTAGAATCGAAAGACTGCTTTAGAATTGAGTGGGTGGGATCGAGGATGAGCTTCGATAGGAGAATCTCGTCGCTTCCTTTGTAAACCTGGGAGTCATATGTCAGTCCGAGGACCGGCCGGGTTTCGAGATGGGTTGACCGACCAGAAAGCGACACATGGTGTCAACGTGTGCAATTCGAGGGGGGAAGATAGGGAGAGAATCGAGCTTCCGTAGAGACAAAGGAGCAAGTTATTGCATGCTAGGAACTCTCAGGGGCGGTATGAAGTATTAAATGGCCAAAAATTATAAAATGTTTCGAAAAGGTGGTCAAGGCAATGGGAGTCGGCGATGGTAATTGTGGGCCAAAATGACACCATTGGATCCCGGTGACTGGCAGCTGAACACCGATGCTGCCGGTCGCAGTGGCTCAACTCCTTGCACACCTTAAAACTGGACCGAGAGGCTTCTGGAGTATTGCCACAGAGCTGACTCAGAGCCAAGCGAACGGGTAGATACGAGGGATCTGGGGCATTGAGGAGGCGTGGAAACCACACCGCACTGCATCTGGTAAAATTGGCCTTGAATTGAGCGGTGGCCGATTGATGGACGGCGAAGGCAAGATGCCCAGACCGAATAGAAGTACCGAACCAGCCAAATTAGGTGGCACACTACCTGCCAACGTCTGGTATGCAGACACTGTAGACGCTGTCGGGTGTGTTGGGGCAGGGAGATCAGCACGGGAGCAGCCCGAGGGCAGCCAATAGGGAGCTCAAAGTGCAGCTCTAGTGACGCAACGCCGCCCGCCCACAGCGACCATCCACCAGACCCTTGACAGCGGGAACGCGATAGTCAATTTACACGCTCCGCGTCCACGACGCCTCAAACCGCGTCCATCTCCACCGACCACATGTCCCGTCCCCAGCCTCTGCCATGTAAAGTCCTAATTTTACGTTGCCCTGCCCACCTGCCTCCCAGTCTCAAAACCATATCCAGCTCCGCATTCTGCTTTTTTTTTTCCATTGCACGTTGTGTTCATGCACTTGCTTTTCTGATAGAGTCGAGCTAGAGCCATTCTGGGACCATCTTCTTCTTTTGCTTGTCTTCTCGCTGGCCATGGATCACCAGTATGGGTTTGCACCCATGTCTCCGCCTCCGAGTAGCAGCCCGGCGAGAATGGCCTCGTCTCCCATTGCCGGACTCCTATCTCCCACACGAACTAACAGACGGAAGGAAAGAAGAAACCCATCAGTTACACCGAGACGATTTGGACGATTCTTTACTCCTCGTTCCCAGGAACTAAGAGGCAGGCGGATATTGGCCACCCTGGATACCGCGGCTACTAATCAGCAACCACTCTCACCGCGGATGTTGGCCAGCGACCCTCTGACCCCGGATATCGTCTTATCTTCTCCCTCGAAGAGCCCTAGGTCGACCAAAATCGCAGGCAGTGAGGGAAACCTCGAGGAGTCTTTGGTCGAGGAGAGGTCGAGGCCGACTAGCAGGGAGGTTCAGCTCCCTCGGATCACATTCGATATCGGCGATACTGCACAACCTGGACAGGATGTCCTGGGGGATTGGCGGAAAGCAACTTTGGTGAGACAGGATTGTCGTGATGAAGTCATGGGAGAAGATGGACTAACACAATCCAAGAGTCAATTCTTCAAAGCTAGCCGGGGCCGAGCTCCAAATTCGAAGGACCGACAACTGGCGGATGCTTCACAGAGCCCAACGCCGAAACGGCAAAAGAGAGAGGTATGTAATCTTCAACAGCGTTTCATCACAATCTCTAACATTGTAGCAGGATGTCGTCGAGACACATGAGCCTATCCCCATCAAGAAATTCGCCAACATGGGCTTCGGTGCGCAGATGCTCAATCGTGAGCATGGATTCGCCATGGACACAGGCAAACAGTATCTAGCGTACCCGGCATGGGATGAGAGGGCTGAAACTGCCAACTTCTGCAGTACGAATGCCGACTGGTATGCAAATGAGTCTCTGGTGCAGGGGCAAGGAAACCCTCTGCCCTTCTGCCTGGCGAGCTGCAGCAAATCACCCGTTACAGCCATCGGCGATGAGCAAGGATATGTACGCCTCTTCAGAACAGACGATGGCCATGACCGGCAGGACAAAGTATACGAGACACTACTCATGCACGATAATGCCGTCATCGACGTCGCTTTTTCACAGGACGACATGCGCCTCGCTACCGCCGCTGGTGACAGGACATGCGGAATTGTTGATGTCACAACCATGAAGGTCGCTGTGACTCTTGCAAGTCACCACAAGAGTTCTCTGCGGCAGGTCGCGTTCCAGCCAGGACAGGCAAGTGGCGACGTTTTGGCCACAAGCGACCGTGATGGCACCATTGCTATCTGGGACCTCAGATGCAGCCAGCTGCCCGCGAGGACCTTTTCTTCAGTTGTCAATGATTCTTCAACGCGGCGACGGGTCTACCCACGCGACGATTCTCTCGATACAGTCCACGGAATTGCCAGCAATGTGATCCCCGCTGCCCACTCTCGCATGACTGAAGGCAGATACACACCAGCCTCGCTCACAGCCATCCATTGGTTTCCGGATGGCCGGGAACACCTTCTGCTCTCTGGCTCCGAGGCCAATGCATCAATTAGACTCTGGGACACTCGATACATCAAACCTGTCAGGGCTCAATCCACTCCACTCGCTCAAACCGCTGCTCCTCGTCATCATACTTTCCGCTCATATGGCATCACCTCGATTGCCATGAGTTCTGATGCCGCTAGGTTCTACGCTGTTTGCCGAGATAGCACAGTTTACGCCTACTCGACCGCCCATCTCATGCTTGGGGAGGCGCCAGAGCTCGTTTACAACGCCATCAAGCGTAAGCCCCGTGCTACTGAGGGCATCGGGCCTCTCTTTGGTCTCAAGAACGAATCGTTCAGCGTCGGGACCTTCTTCATCAAGAGCAAACTTCGCCCTGCATCCGGCTCCAGCCCAGAGCTTCTCGCCGTCGGGAGCACATCCGGCTGCCCCATGCTCTTCTCCACAGATGAACGCTATATGCGGACCGCCTGGGCCGCCAACAGCCACATTCTAAAGCCCGATCCCGTCCTGGCTACTCCTTCCCAGTCCTTCACGGCCACAAACACGCCAGCTTCCCTCACTCCTTCTAATTGCGATATCCCCATCTACCGCTCCGGTACCCCTCTAGTCCGTGGCCATGAGCGAGAAGTCACCAATGTTAGCTGGACTCACCAAGGAAGACTGGTAACTGCTTCCGACGACGGGAATGTCCGTCACTGGCAAGAGGATGCCGCCAAGGCACGGCATCTCAGACAAGTGGGCGATTTTGGCGGTGAGAGATGGATGTCTGGCTGGGCAGACGTAGGAGATGAGTGGGACCTGGACGATGACGAGCTTTGACATCATGAGTCTCGCTTTTGACTCTTTGGATTTTGACTTTCTCAGCAGGCGTAACGGTTTTCGCCGGGATGTTGAGATTATTATACGTTAACGAGGTATCACGACTAGCATTTTTTACATCAGTATGGTTTAGCATGGGCGTTTTCGAGCATTAAATCTACAGCAATCTAGTAGAAGCCACTACATTAATTGATGTTTTCTTCAGACATATTATGACGTACTCACAATGACGATTCTCACCAGTGATAGCCTAACCATGCCTTGATCTATTCAAATACACACACAATCGTTGTCTCAACCGAGTGAAGCACAAATTGAGCGGCACATCACTGACTCATTTCAAGTGAAGGAGCTTGGAAATCCTGTTCACAAGACCCTTCCCCGGTCTCTTTTGCCCGTCTGGGTGCATACGTTGGATCAGGTCAACCATCTCCCAGTCTTTATTCTCCTCAGCCAGGCTTAGCAGCTCCTTCACAGGGGTTGCCTGCTGTAAGTGAAGGGCCTCCCCTCTCCTGAGAAGCACCTCGACTATCTCCAGGCGCTCGCGCTCCACAGCCTCACGCAGGGTCCAGTGATCGATGAAATACCCATGATCGAAGAGCACCTCAAACATCGATGCTGGCTTCCCCCCGGTCACGGCATAGTATGCCACATTCCACGGTAGTGCCCGGCATGCCGGCCTGTTGGGGTCCGCGCCCGCCTTGAGCAAGATACCGACCATCTTCTCATCCCCAGAGGTCACGGCGTCGACAAGAATAGTGCTATAATCATCCTCCGCGTCGGCTGAATCGGGATCAATGCTGCACAGGCTCTCAACAAACTGGACGTTGCCCGTCTTGATGGCAGAGCCCAGCAGAGTGCCCAAGCTGGTGTTGTGGAACTTCGAGAACAGAAACTTGACCATGTCTATGTGCTGGCCTTGGATAGCAGCTGCGAGCATTTCGCGGACTGTAGGAGTTTGCTGCTCTTCCGGGATGGACCGGTTCATCCACATCTGGCAGTGGTCGGGGCCGATGTCGAATTCCCGGAGCAGGCTCTCCAATGCCTGCCGGTCTCCATCGCGACAGGCGGTAAGGATTTTCCGATTATCTTGCTCGCTCGGCATGATTAGAAAATCGATGTGCTCTGTTGTATAGTAAAAGCAGGTCGGGCAGGGATTCAACGCTGGAAATTGATCAAGATCAAACACAGGCTTGCCCGCACGGACGGATGCAGACTGGCCAACCGCCACAATACTCCAAATGAACAACAAAATCCCGAGATTTCAGGTCCCGTCAGTTAGAATTCAAGAAATACGACGCATAGTATAGACAAAACCCCCCCAGCTTAATGCAGTCCGCTATTCTTCAACAAAGCCCGTCAAAGATGAAGGAGTTGATGAAGATGCCCGAGAACGAGCGGCCACTTCAAACGTTAGGAAAGAAAATCTACTTTGAATACCCATATAAACCGTCATCCTCTCAGGTTATTTTTAGGATGAGGTCTTCACGCATCGCCACACCGCAAGAACAGAGGCCCCCGCTCTCCCTGCTGACAACCGCTTATGAGGCGCATTCCGCCTCGCCAAAAGGCTGTCCAGTGCCGCAAACCATTATCCATGTACCTTATTCTGTAGACTTAATGACTGGCCATTCCAGGCACCACCGACTCTGCAGCTGGGTTGCTTGATAACTCGGTGTATCTTCAACCAGACACGCTCTTGCTCCGGGTATAGTCATAAGCCGGCTCCTGGGGCGCCATCGATGGAAGTCGGTAGTGACCTGATGAGTCTTTACCCAGGCACGCCGCGTAAGATTGCGAGGAGGTACAGTCTCTTGAATCACGGGCATTGGGGCTCCTAAGTAGGTACCTTAGGTATTCATCATTTCTGAATACCTAGGTACAGTTTTCAGTGATGAAGTTACAGTCATGAGGTGACTTTGTAACTGCAGGTACGAAGATCCAGGCACGAACCCTATATTAAGCTACCAGGGCAGGCCTTAAATTTACGCTTTTATACCTTAGTTAAGTAATTAAATGTCACTTATTTAGGCGCCAAAATGTGTCCACACAGTTGTTTGGGTTGACACGAATCACAGACGTATCCGAAATGGATCGCATTCGAGGCCGGCAGGGGCCTACAGTCTCCCCAGATATTGAGCCAGTTGGGTTGGCTAGTTGTCTCCGAGAATACGGGCAAACAGCATCCTTCCAAAATTATGTCCACCTAGTGATGGCGCACGAATACGAAGAGCTTTGTCTCGCAAAGGTTCGTCCTATGACTTTGTCGGGGGTAGATCTAGCATTTCATTCATACAGGACAGTACAATTCTCATGTATAGGTACCACTGGAGCAAACCAAGAGTGGACAAGGTAGAGCCATTAGCATTGTATCATAGGTATGTATACGCTTGGTCAGAATTGAGTTGATTCGTGAAGACAAATAAACCGAGTCAATATTTCACCCTGGATATTCTCGGTCTCCCAAAAATTCAGCCAAAACAGTACGACACTCAATTCAATCAATTTCATCTCATCTGAAGGAATTAGCGGTGCATCCTGTATTTAATGGACAAATTTATTGTTTATCCTGCTTGTATGAAAAAATCATGCTCGTTTCTAGGTATCCTAAACAATCATTGCAAAATCACAAACGCCAGTCATGCATGCGTAACGTCGTTTACTTGTCGCACATCTCTTTCTCCTTTCCCATGGTTGTGAAGATTCACATCACCAATCTAACAACCCCTTTCGTCCGGTTATGAGAGCTCCGGCAAACATAATGCCAAAGGTCACGAAAAGTATGCAGCTTACAACGTTGCGGCCGTATCTTGCCATCGAGGCGTTTTTTGAGAACTCGGCTCGCTCCTCGCTAAGAGAATGGTGGCGGCTGGGCTTAGGGAGGGTCTGGTCAAACCTCATAGATTTTGGCAGACCAGGACAAAGTCCATTTCCAGGGAACCCAGTGACTCGTGGATGAAGGGGGGGCACATAGTCATCGTGTACCACGTCCGAATCGTTCTCTGAGGCCGACTTTGCAAGGTTAGGTCTGCCTTGTGATCTGACCACGCTGCAGATGCTATTGTCGCTCCTTCTCATGCTGTTCCGTAAATCTCTTCTTTCTCTTGTCACTGAAACGCTGTCTCGGAGTCGAGCCATCATATCATCTGCATCAGTAGTATCCTGGCCAGGTACCACACAGACCTCATCCAATTGACCAACGAGGAGAATCATGTTCTCGAATATGCAAACCGATTCGTTCACCACATCATCTTTTTCCCGGTCTGTCAGAACGGTCTCTGATCCGGAGAGCCGCTTCTTAAACTCTCGTTTCAAATCCTCCCCGTCCATTGGAGTAGAAAAATGGAAAAATCCCAACGGAAACCCATGAGATTCGGGAGACCCGCGGGAACCGCCAGGCTTCTCATCATGGCTCGTTTCCGAGGTATCTAGCGACTCAGCCGAGTGACGTCGATCTTTCTCGCACGCCATCATGTTTGGCCGGACTGGGGACGGACACTGGTCCCAAAACGCGTGGCCAACCGACTCGAGAGAGGCCCGAATGAAGCGCCCACCGGCAAATAAAGCCATGAAGAAGATGTAAGCATATGCGATAAGGACATGCGGCCTGCTATTGATCGAACGTCGCATATGGTCAAGGAAATGAGCAAGGTGCCCAGTCTCGCTCATCATATTGAGCTGCTCCTGGACCACATGTTCTGGCCATCCCGTCAACACCCCTAAATCCTCCTTGAGCTTGGCTGATCGCATGAGTCCTGGGAGGCGCAATGTCTGTAACGCCGAGTGAAGCTCTTTGTGTGGTTTTGACCTCTCAGTCCGCAAAGACGGGTTGTCTTCACTGTCCGTGGCCGGTATCGACGGGTCAGTTCCACGAATTAGCAATCCAGACCGGGTCGACGTGGGTGGAAATTCGAGGTGCTTTCCCATAGAGTCTCGAAGGTGATGTAGATCGGCGCAATATGGAACAACCCTGATATGTATAGGGAGGGATCGGCTATCCGCGGGGGCAGGGCTAGCTGGAGGCGAGCCATGATGAGCCTATTAAGCCTCGCATGCAATACCCTGGTGGAAGCGGCGATAGACTCGGCAATGGAGCCGGTCTGGGTGGTCTCGGTTTCAGTGGCAGCCATGTCGACTCATGATCCACCGTAACCTGTCTGAACAAGAAGACGCCGAGCCGTATTCACCAGAGGCGGCTCAGAAACCAATACTTGAGGGTGGCGTTGCTTTCGATTTTAGGTGCTATAAGCTGTCTTTCTCCAGGGTAATGAAGTTGAGAGAATCACCAGGAAACGTCTAAAGTCATGCAGGCAGAATGAGGAGAGATAGGTGGCGGAGAAATGTCTAGAGAACAAGGAATAAAATAAAGAGCGCCAGAAATCAAGGAGTGGAAGTAGGACGAGACTGGATAAGCCCGATTACCATGAAAAAGTTGGCAGGAGGATGCTGCTTCCTTGATTTCACGGTCGGACAAAGGAGAGAAGGAAGCAACCACGGAGAAGCGCCGGGCGAATCGGCAAATATTGGGAACTGTATCTTCCCTCTTTCACAGACGGAAATAGGAATGCACTAGCTAAAATCAATAGCTTCGATTCATTGTGTGCTGCTCTGATTCGGGTTCCACTTGGTTGGTCTGTTCATGCGATCAAGCAGAGGAAACTAGGCACCCTCTCGACTTACCTTGCCCGTTCCCTTTGTCTCTGACTGTGGGACAGCTGCAAGATCTGGGGAACTCAAACCCTAGCTGTAGGTAGGCTCTTTTGTTTTTGACCGAGCCCTGGAGTGTTTGCTCCGGGCGCTACAAACGGGTGATCATCGCCTTTCTCCAAAATTTTGAGAGGGGCAGGGACTTTGATATCGGGAAGTTCGAATTCGCGGTCCCAGTATAAAATCACCAGCAGAACTGGTGAGGGGCATTTCCGCCCCTGGAGATCGAGCTTCGGGCCCTGGATCGAGCCTTGGGCTAGAGAGCGGGTCGTGGTGGTGCCAAGCGGGAGGAGCCAGTTTCGGTCTACAAGCGTGATCTACATTGGAAATGGAGGGTGGATTACATCCAGCTGGTTGGGAGTTGGAGAGAAAGGGTGTCACAGAACACGGAGAATAAAGAGCTTGTACAACCACCAAATAGTGAAAGAGGGGTTTTCTGTCAAACCAAACATATCTGTTGCAGGGTCTATCCTCTACAGTCGCTCTACCCCTCTGTATATACAAATTCATCTACGTGTGTCCCGTCACGCTTCTTCCTGGGCAGTATCTCGCGTTGGCCCAATCTCAATGGCGGTTCCCTTCTCTGGTTCGTCTTTACTCTCATGGCTCACAAACACAAAAGACAAGAGCACAATCGCTGCTCCAATCCAGTACAGAAACGACGCATATTGCCCATACTGTATCATCTCGCCGATAAGCGAGAGCGGAATCGTTAAAGAAATGCCAACCGTGACGACCAACGGAGTCGTCATCAACATGGCGAACGCCCACGAAATATCACTAATAAAGGAGGCAAGGGAATTACCCTATCAGTAGATCGACAGTCAGCGAGATATCCCATATGCACGGCATAGCTGGGTCCAACTTACAAAAATAATCCCCCAAACTCTGGCTGACGGGGGAAGTGCAAACTAGAGCAAATGTTAGCAAAACATCGCCTGTGATTCAATCAAGATGCGGCTCGCACTCACGGGCTCGATATTGGTCCAATGCAGAACGAAGAACAAGGGCCAGAAGAGCAGGAGCGTCCAAACGCCCACGAGCCCAAAGAACAGCCTCATGTCAACCCTATCCTCATTTCCCACACGTCTCTTCATCACGGTCACATACAAGCCATAGATGACAGCGCCGATCAGCGCCATGAAATCCCCAACAGCAATCTCGGTGGTCGACTTGTGCGGGAACGACCCCCGATCTTGATCACTCCCGCCCGAGAGGTCTACCGTGGAGACCAGCGCGATGCCCGCAAGAGATGCGAGCACGCCAATGAGTTTCCGGACGGTGAACCGCTCCACCACGAACACGGCACAGAAGATCAGCGTCCACACGCTGCTCGTCGACGACAGGATCGTTGCGCTCGCCACGCTCGTGTACTGCAGACACGCAGACGCAAAGTAATTGGCGAGGAACCATAGCATGGAGAACTCGAGGCTGAGCATGGCCGTTTCGCGCACGTCCAGCTTCTCCTGGGGTATCATCCCCGATAACTCCACCGACCTGCCAAGCTCGTCATCCTCTTCTACCAGTAACCGCTCGCCGACCGTCTCGTCTGCGGTCACGTCCTCGACGGTCTTACTCGCCGATTTCCCATGCCGTTGTTCATGCCACATTTGGCCCAGGTCATGCTGCAAGCCCCGGAACCCGTTTCGTAATAAGTAGGTCGTAAATCTTGGAAGCATCGAGAGGGCGAAGAGAGAGGAGTTCGCGTAAACGACGAAGAATGGTTTGTCGTAGGTTCCATCTGAAAATATGGTCTGCGGAGGGACCATTCGGTCAGCAAGATATTCAATTAGCTCCTTCACGAAAGAAGCATGAGTTTGGGGGCGCATACACTAGCTAGGAAATTTGAAGCCGTCCAGAGACACACTGTGACCATGAGTAGGCCCAATCCCAACGTCCTCCTTGCGACGCCCAGCCTTGACCGAATACCACCCGGAGGAGCGGTCGCTGTCGACCGCAAACCGGCGGATGACCCTATTGAGGCTGCCAGCTCGGTCGCATCGTCCGAAAATCGTCGATCCCCCAAGTGAACCGGCCCCTCTTGAAATTCAGCTCCACTGGAGGCAGCCATTGTGTCAGATAGTTATGTGTTTCGGTTCGTGGACGGTATTCCAGGTGACAGACGTCGTCTTGTCTATCCAGGCTTCCCACGGCGTGTCGTCGCAAGTGTCGCAGTACGTTGTCCCATCGAGGAATGCGAGGGCGGCTCAATAGCAGACATCCGACAGCATATCAGGAGGCGAGTCCCTTGAAGACACGTATACCCGGTAGGGAGTAGGTATCGCGGTGAATAGTCGTCCGGCTGGGTTGCAAAGGGGGAAAATGCCAAATGATCGACAGCAACAAGATGCTCGCTGGTCTTTCTCGAGATGGATTGGCGGGTGGGTGGGTATTATTACATACCTCCTTGTCAGTTCAGGTTCGTTCCGGTGCGCTGCCGCTATTTCGGAGCGAGATGGCAGCATTACGCCAGGGTCCGGTGCCGCTGGTGGTGTTTCAGCCATCCACAGGGCAGCATTTGCTGCAAATGTTGCCCTGCAGACCCACGGCGGGGACTTTAGCTAGCTTGGGCCGCTCTGGGGAGCCGCTCGGAGGCCTGGAGGGCCCTGCGACAGCCTGTGACCCAGGAGCTCTGACCTGCTGGTTTGGGGCTTGTTTGAGATGCTCATTTCCAATCGATAACACATGATGGCATCGGCAGGGCCAAATGCAGACATATGATTCCGTCTGCCGCAGCGGAGACTTATCGGATTCTCGTCACGCGGTTCGGCATTTCCCATAAGTGTTAAATATAAGAGCAGCTGCTCTACTTCTAACGCCGCATCTCACGTGCCACAATTCAGCTTAGCACCATCTCACGCGGCTGCATCCCCTTGCCATCCTTCAGCACGCCTGCCTTCCTTAGAATGGAAACGCAGTTCTCAACCACGTCGGGCTTGATGCCCTGAGTCTTGACGGGGAACCTGACCGTCTTCAGCCATTCCCTTGCATCCGGCTCTGTGTAACCTAGGCTAGTCGAAATGTACTTGACAGACTCCTCTTGGTTGTTGTTAAAGTGCTCAACACCCTGGTCAAGCTTCCCGAACAGATCCTGGACTCGAGCGTCAAGCTTGTCCCCGGCAGTGAGCGTGGTCGACGCCACGATCTTCCAGCTGCTCCAGGGCGTGTAGATCTCGCCAACCCGCCTGATCTCGCCCGAGTCGTAGAACTTCTTGGACGTGAAATGCTCCCACATGAAGAAGTCGGCCTCGCCCGAGTTGACGGCGTTGCGGAGGTTCTCGAAGTTGTTCAGCACAACAGTGTCTGAGAAGGGCGGCGCGCTGAGTGAAGGGTCCAGCCAGCCCTGCTGGTCAGCCAGGACGAACCCCATGACATAGCTACCGGAGCCGATGCGTGACACGCCGATTTTGCCACCCTTCAGAGAGGATACTGAGTCGATTTCAGGGCGCTTGGCCCCCGTAGAGATGGCCCAGCCTGCGAGTTGCGGTCAGTCAAAGTCAGATTGTGATGAGTCTTGCCTTTTGTCTTACACAGAGGTGTCTCAACGTATGTGCCAACCAGACGGTAGCCGCCGTCGCCTTCCACGTCCTCCTTTCCCAGGCCTGCAATCCAGCCCTCTGTCAGACCGATCCCGACATCAATCTCGCCCGCTCTGATGGCTGTAACCATATGGCCAGTGCCGGAGGGGAATGGAATCGGTTCTGCATTGAGGCCGTAATGCTGCTTGGCAAAGTACAGCGGGGTGGAGAAGTGCTCCGGGACGAAGCCGATGCGGAGAGGTGCAGCCATTCTGTCCAGATGGATCTATGGGTTTATTTCTCTATGTGAGGAAGTGCGCGGGGTTTCCTCAGCCTCAGTGAGCTTTACGGGAGACGCTGAATGGAAGCTGTGAATGGTGGTCTCGCATGGGTGAGAGAGTTGGATCTATGAGTGTCGATGGGGCTCGAGTGAGGGGCTTTACGCAGCATCTCGGTCATCCACTAATAAATAGCGCCGGCAGCTGTGGTCTTGGAATAAGGGTATTGGGTCCATCGAAATATGTTGGCCGATCAACTCCCGGTTGAAAGGATACTTGGATAATCCGATTGATAGTTTGGATAGTAGAATCAGCTTTGCTATAAGCCTACAAGGTTGTGAAGTGATATGCTGAGAGGTCAAATTTTCACACTTGGAACTAGAAGGGTCGTTGTTTCTGAGGTGAAGTGTCCAAACTTGGGCAGCAATTAAAATCCACGATTCGCGTACCGGTCCTAGGTGTATACTATCGCTTTCAGTATGCAAGATGGTATCTCCCGGGCGACCCGGAATACCTCCTTAGCTCGTAAGATCTAAAGGCGCAGCAATGGTCAGCATGATTGCCCCCATCTTTAACCGACGTATGCGATTGCGAGCTTATGCGAGCTGATCATGAATGGCTGTTCTGAGTGGCTTCTAGCTGCATCCGCCAGCCATTTAGATTGGTGGGATTGGAATTTGGCCAGAGGAGGAGCAATGCAAGTGCCCGCTTCAGGTTACGGGGAAGAATACATAGGGAACAGCATCAAGTACAGCCATGGGAGGTAGAGAATACAGGGGCCTGCTTGCGTAGCACAAGCTGGGGGCCATCTCGATACTGGATTGATTACTTGTGACGGAATATTCCTATCTGGGCCATGCTGCTATTTTTAAAGAGATAAAGTCGCAGTAGATGCAACATGTGCACGGTCTTTGGGCTCGAGGCCATCCTGATCTGCGATGGCGGGTTCTATTGAGACCATCGATGGCTTGTATTGAATCCCCAGCTGAAACTCCCTGCGTCAAATGGCATTGCGTCGACCGGGTACAGTGGCCATGATTGACGGGCCTCAATCTTAGGAGGAGGCTGTGCTGTACCGTGTAATTGGCCCGGAGTCATCAAACGGTCGGAGTTTGCTTATCCACCACGTATCCAGCTGGGCTTATTGTTGGGATTGCTGTCTCGAAATCCGCATCCCTTATTTACTCACCTCTCTCCCTTTTCCAGTGCCGAATAGCTCCAGTAGTCGAACCAATAAGTAGGGGTGACAGCTGGCACGAAGCCACCGACAGCGTGTCGCATTAGCGCGTGTAGCTCCAGAAGCCGTGCACTTACAGCTGCCGCTAGATTCAGCCTTATCTAAGTCGCCGACCCAGCTAATAATTCAGTTTCGCGAACAGAGCACATCCTCCAGCTTCTGCGATTTCATCACTCTTCTGTTCAATTCCTTCCCGTATCGCCTGGATTACTCTCCTACCTAATGGTGGGCCCTTTACACCGGCCCCGTCGCTCTTCGAGCCTCGCGGATGCCGTGGCCCTGGAAGATTATGACCATGAGCATGATGAGGACCATGATGAGGACGTCCCCTTCCTCGACTACGAGGATCAGGACCACACAGAGCCACGCGGCAAACCTTCGACTCCGGGCAGTGCCATACCCGAGCAAAGGACTATCTTCCTCAAGGCCGCATCATGGCAGGTCAAGACACCTGGCTCCGTCGTGCTACTCATCGCCGTGACCAAGTTCTTCGTCATCCTGAGCGCCATGATCCTGCTCATCCCCATCTATCGCCTGATTGAGGATGCTCTGTGCCATGTCTACTACAAGGACGACTCCAACGAGATGATTGAGGAGATGAAGTGCAAGGTCGATGAGGTCCAGGCCAACTTGGCCCTGCTTATGGGATGGTTGGCTGTGGTTGGCGCTGTCATTAGTGAGTCGAATTCACTTCCATCTTTCCCCTACACCCCTTCCATAGCCCCGACTGTTTGGTTTGGCTACCCCCATCATATTGAATGAGAGGCTGACCGAATTGGGCGTTTAGACTTCATTGTCGCCTACCCCTATGGCTTGCTATCAGACAGCATTGGCCGGAAGCCAGTTCTCATCATGTCTTATGCCGGCATGGCCTTGGCATTCGCCTCTACACCTTTTGGTCTGAGCGAACTGAGTAACATCATCCGCAAAAATCCCTATTATCTCATGATTGGCTCCGTCTTCACCTTGTTTGGCGGTGGCCTTACCGTGTTCATGACAACGCTCTACGCTGCTGCAACAGATGTGAGCACCGAAGATAACAAGTGAGTCCCACCTGTTCTATCAATCCATTTCTGGAACCACCCAAGTTGTTAATGAAATTACAGAGCTTCCAACTTCCTCTACCTAATGATCGGTGCCAGTACTGGGGGGCTCCTCGGCCCGGTGATCAGTGGCATCTTAATGAAAACCTACAACGCCTGGGTTCCCATCTACGTTTCCGTGGCCATTACCCCCCTCGCCTGCGCCCTCATTGCGTTTATCCCCGAGACTCTCAAGATCGACTCAAAGTCGGTTGTGGGAAGCGGTGCTTCGCTCAGAGATCAGATTGCTCATGGCTTCCAAGACCTCAAACGGACCACTGGATTGCTTCGAGATAGGAACATCCTGCTGGTCTCGGTCGTCTACCTAACCGAGCATCCCAGGGCATCGGCTTCCATGTCCACCCTTGCGCAATACATCAGCAAGCATTACGGATGGACGCTTGCAGAGGTGACCTTCCTCCTCTCCCCATTGGGAATACTACACATCATCATTCTCGCCGTCCTGCCAAAAGTGTCGGAGGTCCTCATGTCGCCCAGGTATCGCTTCACCTCATTCGGAAAAGATCTGTTCCTGACACGGATCTCGATGCTCATCCTGACCATCGCAAGCATTCTGCAGGGCGTCAGTCCCAACATTGTCATGTTCATCATGGCGCTCTTCATCTCCGTCTTTGGAGGAGCCGACAGCCCGCTCGCGAGAGCAACCGTCTCGCACTACGTCGACTCCAGCCGTATTTCTCGACTCTACGCCTTGCTGTCAATGGTAGAAGTTCTGGGCTCTTTTCTCGGCGGGCCAATCACCGCGTGGTTCTTTAAGAAAGGCCTGGAATGGAAGGGTATCTGGTCAGGCCTGCCGTGGTTCTACATTTCACTCCTCTGCGCATTGACATTCTCAGCCCTTATTTTCGTGAAACCTCCCAACAAGTTCCTTAATGGGGATGAAGAAGATGAGGAGGGGGAGGACGTTCCGCTGGGTAATCCTGTCAGACTTGAATAGAATGAATAGAATTGTTTTTTTTTCCTTTGCCCTTCATTATACCCCTATTATTCAATCATGAGCCCAAAACACAAGTCGCAACTTCAGGCCCTGAATTGTGTCATCATCAACTGCCATCTTCCGCGTTTCGCCAACGGGCTCGTCTAGGGGGTTCATGCCTCAACGTGAAACCTCGCGCCGGAACACCGGGATGATGAAACCAAAACAGCGCCAAGACGGCCAATCAGCCCCATACCCGTCGCCCACCTCACGGAGCATGATGTTCTTTCGTTTGTCCATTCGCCTGTCTAATTCAGCATGGCGGAGGATGAAGTGAAATCCCACTGCGGGACGCCGGTGCGAAAATCCCAGGGGCAGGTCGGCACGGAGGGCGATGCTCCGCGATCGACAACACTTATTCAACTGAAACAAAAGATCCGAAGTGTATATAAAGGATAGAAGAATATACCAAGTCATGATCTTTTCAGTCAATTCCAACATCAAGAGCAGAACCTAGCAGTCGGGATTCCCTACTCAGGAAAAAAAAACCCACCACAATGAAGCCCCAAAGCCTATCCGCCCTCGCCGCCCTCGTCGGCCTCTCCAACGCCGCCCTCCTCTGGGACGGCCGCTTCAACGACCTCGCCGCGGCGACCGACCTCGACAAATGGAGCTGGGCCAACCAAGTCGGCCCCTACCAGTGGTACATCCACGGCACCGGCGCCACCACCGAGTACGTCGAGCTCTCCGCCGCCAACAAGAACCCGGCGGACACCGTCTCGGCCAAGGGCGCCAAGATCAGCCTCACCTCGACGTCCTTCTGGAACGGGCAGAACATGCGGAGGACGGAGATCATCCCCCAGACCAAGGCAGAGATTGGAAAAGGGAAGAAGTGGTACCACTTCAGCATCTCGCGGGCCGCGACCAACGTCCCCTCGGCGGCCAGGGAGCACCAGATCGCCTTCTTCGAGTCGCACTTCACGGAGCTCAAGTCCGGCGGCTCCGGGTTCGAGAGCACGAACCACCTGCGGTGGTACGCCAACGGGCAGTCGCTCTGGGAGACGGCGTGGGATGCGGGAGTGTGGCACAACATTGCCTACGAGATCGACTTCGACGGCGGGAGCGTGGGGCTCTGGCACTCTGAGGGCAGCAGCCCCTTGACTCGGGTCGTGGCGCCCGTGTCTGTGAGCGCGTCCAGCAACGGGCAGGACTGGCACGTCGGGGTTCTCGAGCTGCCGAACGGGGATGCCGATGCGAACGAGGACCTGTTCTTCTCTGGGGTGTACATTGAGGATGGTTCAATCACCACGGCTATTGGGGGCCCAACTGCCTAGGCGACTTTGTATCTCAAGAGCTCAAGGGAGGGATTCTGCTTTTAGTTTTGCTTCCATTGAATAAACAAAATTTGGCCAAGAGGGGTGTTTCCATCACGATAGCCTTGTTATGAATAAGGGATGCTGGGTTCTTCGCTTGGTTTCGAAGCAAAGTCGAAACCACTGGCGGAAGAATACAACCCCCAGGACCACTTCCTGTTTCCAGACAAAGGAATTGTAATTGGGTTCTTGTAAAGGTCTTGTACCCAGACACAACACGGGGTAAAACAGATGAAGCTAATTTGGGTCACGAAAAGGGATGAAGGTTTCATTGAATTCGGGGCAGTTTAGCACGCTGTGCAGTCTTCTACAAGAGAGAAGCGGACCTATCGTACAACAAACACAAAGAAAGAACAACTTATGGTAGTGGCAGGTCTAAGCATAAGGAGATAGCTCATAGCGACTAAACCACCCACATTCACAAAAGAGATGATGACAATAAGCTAAACCTGAGAGAAATCCAACTGGTGTAGGTTAATAAGTAATAGAATTGTATATTCAAGATAATACCGCTATGCCCAAAACCAATGTCCAAGAAAAAAAATTACATTCCCGTGTCATCTCAGCATGTATGACAGATCCGGGAGGTTCCCTAAAATGCCCGTAGCCGTTTCCTCTTCACTAGCGAACAGGGCTTGGTTGGGCTCCGTCGTAGCGAAGCTCCGTGGCGATTTGGGAGGAGGCGGAGGTGGAGGCGATTCCATTAATAGAGGTGACAGCGCCGGAGAGTTCAAAGGCTCTCCAGTCCAAGCGAGAGCCGAGTCCAACGATGCCAAAGGTCGCGGCCTCGGTTTTTGTTTTGGTACAGATAGCGGGTGCTGAGGTGCCACCATTCCTGTGCCAGTTGGTTGTAGCCCCATATCACCAAAGGTTGCAGGAGCAGGATCTTCAGCTTGTTGCGATAGCGTAGGCCACACTCCGGGGCTTACTATTTCATCTTTGCTCTCGTCTGGCAATGTGTCGTCTGGGAGTGTCTTTGTCTCTTCGACGTTGGTCGAGATTTTGATCTTTACATCTGGAACAGGCCAAGTGGGGGTGGGCACAACTGTAGGCCACCCAGGGCTGATTATTTCATCTTTGCTTTTGTCCGCTGATGTGTCCCCTGGAAGTTTCTTTGGCTCTTCAATGTTGGTTGTGATCTTTACTGCTGCCACGGGCCAAGTGATGGTGGGCCCAACAGTAGGCCATCCAGGGCTAACAATTTCATCTCTGCTTTTGTCCGGGGATACGCTCTCCAGCAGTTTCATCGAGTCTTCTCTTATATTGGTGGAGACGTTAACCTCTGCCACAGGCCAAGTCTGGGCAGACACAACTGTAGGCCACCCGGGACTGATGATTTCATCTTTGCTCTTATCCAAGGAGGTATCCTCTGATGCGTTCTTCGTCTCTTTTATGTCGGTTGAGACTTTCACAGGCCCTACAGGCCAAGTATGAGTGGGCGCACTAGACGGCCACGGGCTTGTTTCAGCAGTAGGTGAGGTCACCATATCTCCCCAATCATCATCCTCGCCGTCATCTTCGTCTTCGTCGTCATCACTGGCATCTTTGTCATCTGAGAACGAACCCCTGGATCCATTCACTACGGTCGGTGTAGGGACGGGTTTAGACAAAGTCTGGTCTATAGATGGCCGATTCGCAACATCAAGAGACCTGGTGATGATAGGAACTGGTTGAATCTTAGGCGGCTCGGCAAATTCTGCCGAAGAATCAGAAGGCGGCGGTGGTGCACGCGGCAAGACCATCGATTGCGGCCGAGTTGAAGTACCAGGCCCGGCCCCTGATTCACTCGTCTGCGTTCCCGGTGATGATGGTGGCGGTGCTGCTCGTGGTAAGACCATTGATTGTGGCCGAGATGAAGCACTGGCGCGGGCTCCCGATTCATTTGTCCGCACAGCTGGTGATGGTGGTGGGCGATTTGATATACCTGGCGAGACTGGCGGCGTGCCCCAGCTAAATTCAGCTGTTGCCGGTGATAGAATGCCTGATGCTCGTGATGCGCTCGAGCCCGCCTTCGAATGGGGACCCCTTTTACGAAGAAGCTCGCCAATTTCCACAGGCGGCGCAGATGAGTTCCAGTTGAAGACAGAACCACCAATGGCACCCACCTTCCGGCCAAGTGTAGGCCGTCCGCCAGATTCTTCCTCCATCCACCGACGAACGATCTTTAGTGTGTCCTGGCGGGCAGCAGAGCGCTTCCAATCCACCCGCACATAGTTTTCCTCGTCGCCCAGTTGGTGCATCCGCATTGCGCCTAATCGTGAGATCCGATACCAGGTTTTGCGTTCGGATATTGAGGTGAAGGAGTCTTTAATAATGACGTCTGGAACCTGCTCCGGAGCAACTGTGATAGGGGGCGTGGTGGGGAATAAATCATCCAGGTTGGTCATGTCAACATGAAAGTCGATAGACTGGACTCTAGAGTGTTGTTTTGGCCGAGAAGCAGGTATAGAACTTGATAGCGTAGCTTCTTCGTCCGTAATTGTATGGCTGGGAGGTCTAGGGGCGTCGCTACCCTCCGTTGGTTGGGCCTCTTCATCAGCTTGCGTAGCATCTTTCCCAGATGGTACATCTGAGTCTTGGTCCGTAACCTGCAGTTCAGGTCTTGATAATAACGTTGTCATCGAAATCCCCGTAGGTGTCCTGGGTGAAGTAGCCCCAATATTAGGGGATGCGTTTCGAGATGCATTCCGAGATATCCCATCATACATATCAACTAGTCCTTGAACCTTAGTAGACACTTTGCGGTTCTGGTCCGGGTCCTCATCATCAGCACCGCCCGGAATGGCCGGCCCAGGGGGATTGCCAACCGGCGATTCTGGTCGAGATATCGATTGAGCCTCAGAGGTTATTGAAGACTGCTCAGACAAAATACTTGGAGACTCCGACGCTGAAACTGCAGTGGCCCCTGGAGAACCAGCTGCTATTCCAGCCGTGGTAGCAATTGACGGCTCTGGTCTGCGATCCAGACCAACCGCCTTCCCATTCAGCGACACGCGGTCGGTTGAACCCTCGGCAGCAAGCGGCGGCGGCTCCCAAACATTCTGCAGGCCAAATGCATTGCTGGCCGACAGCCTGTCCGCACCCACTCCCTCTGATCCCATCCCCAGCGAGGCATCACTCTTCCTCTTCAGCTCCTGAAACGACCTCTCCCGACTCACACTCCGCCGCCCATCACTCATCCGCCCGTCACTCAACCTCCACGGGTCAGGCGACACACCTCTTGACGTAGGCACCTTAGCAGGTTGCGCCGCGGGACTCAGTCCGCCCCATCCGGGGCTATCAAACACGCCGCTCCTCTTCCTGCCAACGCCGGGCGTACCAGCCGCGGCCGCCCTGTCGTTCCACCCGCCCCACGCATCGCCATCCTCCCACGGGTTCTGCACCGTCTTCTGCGAGCTGCCCGCGCTCTCGACGGAGAAGTGCGCGCTCGGCGGCGCGGCGGGCAGGTCTATCTTTGGCGTCGGCGCGTCTGTCGTGGCCCACGGGGATCCCCATGGATCCTCCATGCCTGGAGCATGACGGGGCTCCAGGGTTCAACGAGGGGAGACGAGCTACCTAGCGGTGCCAGGTCTATAACATAACGGTAGGGGAGGTTTCGCAAGCGTTGGCGATTGGGATGGATTGGTCGTCGAGGAATGGTTCGGAGTA